ACCGTGCGACCTCGCCGCACCCGCGCGAGATGTCGCCATGACGCTATGGTTCAAAGATGGGGACCGGATGCCCATATACACGTAAGTCTTTACTACCTTCTTACAGAGAATTGATACAATATGATCTAAAACAACGAATATCTAGATTCAAACAATGAACTAAGCAAAGTAACTTATGTCAACTCATGGGATATATTCGATTCCGTGAACATTAAGGTTGTGACTTATTAAACACATCGAGATGTGCCTCTTCAGTGTACTCGTATATGCTTAGTCGGCACTAATGGCATAGTGAGGCACCGCTTAGTGATTACCTTAAAATATTAATTTATTACGACCTATGTAACGCCAACCAGGTCATATACTTTGAATTACGTATACATTTTTTGAAATAATCATTATCGTATATGCGACGCTATTAATAAAACAGCATAAATTTCAACAATAATATTTCTGTAATCTGATTGAAAAACGATTTATATATTGGCGAAGCGATTATATTAATTTAAGCGATTAATCCGCTTGATGGCTATCATTTTTCCTCCTTTGTACATGTGCGGAGCGAAAACATTTACAGCGCTAAACAAAAACAATGTTCAAATTTTATTAACATCCATTCCATTCGTATCGTTTTTATTTAGGTTATGTGAATTAAATTGAATTTATTTTTATTTGATTATTATGCCAACATCTTTCTTATCTCCCTTTTCTTTTCATTTTAAAGGCAATCGGAACATTAAAATTAATTTGGCTTTCTGTCTTTTAATGTTTGTCAGAATTTCCTAGATTGCTTATTGAATATATAAATTTAATATCTTACAATGTAGGAGAGTTAAGTTAAATATTTATTCATAAAAAGATAAAAGCTTTTAGTGCATCAGCACTCATTAATTGAAAAATTATTAAAAAGCATACAACTCAATTTTAAAATAAATTCAACGAAAACACTCGAACGAAATTCATGTGTAAATTATTCGTGAATATGACAGTATTCACTTTTCCTAAATTAAATAAATACGATCGAAAACTGATTAACATTTACATGTCTACATTATTTTTATCAGAGGTTATAATATTACAAATGTAATTGGCAATATCAAATATCAGATTACTGTAAATCCAATCTAATTTGACAAACACGATCAACGTCTATATGGGATATAATCATAAAATGATTAAGCTATTCATATACTAAACAATAGCCTTATTAACTGATACTGCCGCACTGATAAAGACCCATAGTACACTTGGAACCTAACACTAATATATTCTGACTAGCTGTCCCCATGCGACTTCATCCGCATGGAATTATAAAAAAATCATTTTATTATTCATATTTGTCAAATTATCAATAGCAAATGTCAAAATGACATGACATGATGTCAAACTATGGCAACCATGCTTGATGTTGGCAACAACTTATGGTCTCTTTCCCACATTAGCTATCCAAAATATTTACGCCTAAGTTTAACGGCGTGAAAACATATAGCCTAAAGCGTGACGTAAGTGTAGGGCTTTTTAATTAAAAAAAATAATTATTCAAAAATATGCTGTAATTGCTGACATCTTAGGCAACAAAGAAGTGTGTGTTTACGCCAATATCAAATCATTGGAACATTTGTAATCAACTCTTAATAAAACAGAATAGTGAACGTACGATTTTGAACAAGATAGTTTGAAAAGTGAATTTTTTTAATCAATATAAGTGAAATGTTAAAAAGTCAGGAAGACGTTAAAATAAGAAACAATAAATGAGTTCCGTTTGTAAAATATATTTTTCGCAATAACAGTAGTCTGTACGTAACAGCTTCCGTTAAATTGACTCGCACATTTTAAAACAACTCTTTACGTAAAAGGAAGGAAGCAATTCAGTAAAAGATTCCGCCGATCTTCCGTTTTGGAAGCACTCCAGCCTCTGAGCGTTGAATCAAAAGAGAAATATTTGTTTAGATCTGCTTCGGAGTGTTCTCAACGGGTCGATAACATCCGCAGTGTTTGCTTCAAGGTAAAAATATTAGGGAAACAGATTGAGAGAACAACAAACGGCTTTCACCAAGTTAATGTATTTACAAGACTCAATTCGTGACTTTACTCGGTATCAAGAATACTCAAATAACAAATGCTAAAGGCAAAGAAGCGTACATCATACAAGTACTTTATACAAAGACATTAAAAAAAATGTACAGAGGAAGCACTGTTGACATTTGACTTGAGACAATTTTTTTTTTATAACATAAGGTGGCAAACGAGCAAGCGGCCACCTGAATCCGCCAAAATGGCGAAGCGACCGCTGCCCATAGACATCCGCGATCGCAGATGCGTTACCTACCCTTATCCGACGGAGGAGGAGACGCATATAAAGAGGATAATGCCCCTTCCTATGCCTCTCCTCCACCATCAAATCCACTTCCCCTTTCCATCCTCTCCTTATAAGAAAAGGGTGGTAAAGAGAAAGGGACTTAAATTAGGCCTCCGGCACCACACTCATCAGACGAAACACGGAATTGCTTCCATTTCACGCCTGTCTTCTGTGTGGTCGTGGTACTACACCGGGCGTGCCGACCCATTCGTGCTAAGATGTTAAAGCGGGCACTACCACTGTTCAAATGTTTTACATGATTTACTAACGCTATCTATTGATATGATGACATGAAATGAATTGCCAATAAATTTTATACCAAAAGATGGAGCTTATAATAATATTGTATCTTTTTTTATAACATCTCAATACAAGGACAAGATGTGGCGCACTACTGACTTAGTACCTTTCAAAGATGTTACCAGTGACAAAATATGAATAATATGTCTAGTCTATATATTTCTTGAATGTCTTTGACTTTGTACTAATGAAGATGCGAAATATTCGAATAGAGTTAAGTAAACTGAAACTTTGCATTAAGAGTGATAGAAGTTACATTACGCGTTACAATCAGCTTGATGTCACCACGCCAGAAAAAATGTTAATTACAATTCAAGACTTTAAAACCTACGTTTTGTGGAAGATCCCATCTTCATACTACACTTCAATGGGACAAATGTTTTCTGATGCTAAAGATAATATAGATACAATAAGAAGCGTCTCAATTAACAATAATTGAGAACGCTAACGCGGATCCATCCATCATAGCGGCCGTCGGCTGCAGCGACACCGACTATTAATAACGAATTCATGACATTTCGCTGTTGAATTTCTTAATCTTATACATGAATACGTGAAATCATTAGTAAGAAATATTGTCGTGGACTTGAAAAATGAAATGTTGCAACCGGTATCATAATTTAAATGATCTGAACCAATGATTCTCTTTTAGCCAATGTTTAATTATTCTGGTGAATATTTTAACTAACAAATTCATAAGAGATAGCTATTCAACTTTTAAATCATTTTATTATTAAAAAAAAAGACCATTGAAAATAATGAAATTCACAAAGATGAAAACAAGACAGAATTTAATAAACAAAACGTAGAAGTATAAACATTTCTTGTTTGTCTTGAAGTTGAATTAGCGATTGTTTCCCAAATTCCAGGGTAGACTTCAGAAACGGTCCACCAGTTCACTGGGCAGTGGCTGGAGAGTTCGGTGCTCGAAGCCACTTCGTCCTCAACGAGTCGGACCCGTCGTCAGCTCACCTTGCAGTCGACAAGGTGGCTCGATACGACGAGGGCATATATCGCTGTAGGGTTGATTATGTTGACTCGCCTACTAGAAATTATAGGGTCAATTTGACTGTTGTAGGTATGTTTGAATTTAACCTTATCCACCCCTGACTTCTAAAGGACTTGATTTTACAAGATATGTTAAATCAAGTTTCAAATCTATCAGTCTTTAGTAATCAGGGGTTTCTTTAATATTTGTAACAGAGTTCAATAATTTTCATTGTACAGTACCTCCGGAATCACCGAGGATCTATGATTCTGATGGTCAGGAGATCACAGGCTCGATTGCTGGACCTTTTCGAGAAGGTTCCAATCTGCTTCTCTCTTGTCAAGCAGCTGGAGGTAAATATCAACGCTTAATAAATATTTTATCTTAGTGTTATCAGTGTTCTAATAAAAAAAACCAGTTTTTTTATGTTTCTCCGTAACAAATTTCACTGCATACAATGTTTTTTAGTTCGACCAGCATATATTATTTAGAAATATATATCAATCTTGCTTTGTAATATAAATGCGAAAGTTTAGATGGATGGAATTATGTTTGTTAGAGCTTGTAGTCCAAACTGCTGGACGGATTTCAATTTGGCGTAGATATAGTTGATAGTCTGGTAGAACACATAGGCTACTTACTTCTGTGTTATTTAATTCCACGCGGACGGAGTCGCGGGGGAAAGCTTGTCATAAATTCGCAATATTGATAACTAGTGAGGTATGTATTGTTATCAGTAAGTTACGCACTGTCAGGTAAGCCGGCACCGGACGTGTCGTGGTACCGAGGGCAGGAGCGCTTGGCCATTACCAAAGGAGGCTCCGTGTGTCAGTTGCACCTGCAAAGGCTTTCACGGGAATTGTCCGGCACGACGCTGCAGTGTCGAGTGGAGCCGCCACTTTTGAAGGCTCAGTACAGAGATGTCACTATTAAACTCTTTTGTAAGTTGATATTTTACTGAAAATACTAGTAAATACTTTAAATGGACAGTTTACTTAAAGAAAAAAAACAAAAGCTTTACTTATTGATGACCACCCATCTGATACATCTGTTGGAAAATATTTTAAACCTTTTAATTTATTGTCGTGATATTATTTCGCGACGTGTGAAATAATAAAAGGAATGAATCGTAAATCCTTTTTTGTTGTAAGTCGTGCTTAATTGGAGTATTAAATTATACCGTGAATCGGTGAATTCGTTTAATAAGGAAAATAAAATAAAATGTAAAACAATAACATTATTAAATGTATGAAGATTTTTAACTTCAAAAATGCAAACATGCTCTTCGTTCACGGTTGCTCCCAATATCGCTTAGAGCGGCACACCTTTGACTGAACTATCGCACGACGGTTGTACGATTGTCGATTCAACTGTTTAGTTGCACAACTAAAAGTCGAGCAATTGTACCTCCATATAAGAGTTACTAAACAGTTGTGCGACATTTACACTACTATACATTCTTCAAAGATTTGTCAGTTTGCTGTCTTTCAAGTTATTTATTTAAAAACATTAAATTTTTATGATTGGAATCCAGTAAAGCCTCAGTTCGTCCGAGTGACGGGCACTGGCACGACGCGCGCTGGCCACGAGCGCTCCTTCGTGTGCACGACGCGCGGCTCCAAGCCAGCGCCTAACATCGACTGGTTTATAAACTCGCAGCGAATCGACTCCGCTATGACTGAGGTAAATAACTCTTTCCTCTGTGTTTGCTGTATTCATCATCATCACCAGGTCACTATACGTCCCAACAGAGGGGCTTAAAGCCTACCCTAAATTAGGGTGACTAGACTAGTCAATCACGCTGGCCCACTGCAGGTTGATTTCACACATATCTTTGAATTTCTTCTCCGATATAAAAGATAGGAATATGAAAATATGACGAGACATCAAAAAATGGACGAAATAAATGACTATAATGTTTTGTAACAAATTAACTCAAGTTCCAAGTTATAGCAGCACAAATATGTTATGAATCAATGATTATAGTGAAGCAATGTTGACAAACAGATGGATGTAGAAGGAGAGGTGACGCGGAGTGTGCTGACGTGGCGCGTGCGGCGAGAGGACGGCGGCAGGCAGCTGGTCTGCAGAGTCTCAAACCCCTGGTTCCCAGCTTACACGCTAGAAGATTCTGTCACGTTAGATGTATTTTGTAAGTATTTTAAAAGATTGTGGGAAGTCGGGCTTTGAAATGCAAAGACAGCGACATAGGTTTTATTCTTTCTCTTTTATCTTTATCTAAAGAGGAAAGATTTGCATTTTTGTTTTTAAATAACTCAAAAACTATTTGGCCGATTTTAAAAATTCTTTCACTATTAAAAAGCTACGTTATCAGTGAGTAACTTAGGCTATGTTTTGATATTTTTAATTTCACGCCTACGAATTTGCGAGCAACAGCTAGTATATACTAATATTATAAAGAGGAATATTTGTATTTTTGTATGTGTTTAAATAAGTCAAAAACAATTGGCCGATTTTAAAAATCCTTTACTATTAAAAACCTACATTGTATATTTTTTAAATTTCACGCGGACGAAATCGTGGGCAACAGCGAGTAATAAATAATTTGATTTTATTTAGACCCTCCCGTGGCACAAATATCGGTAGCATCACCGAAAGAATCCCATTTACTGCGAGAAGACGGCGACGCGGTCCTCGTGTGCTCTTCTGACGCCGCGCCGCCCGCCACCAACTTCACCTTCTACAGAGGACTGCAGGTAAAACTAACAATAACACTACAGTTTGTCTAAATAAGATAGATTTGACAATTCATTTCAAATTTACTAGGGATGGGTTGAATCAGGCGTAAATCTTATCGATGTTTTTCTTGTAAAAGTTGGAATCGATAGATTCATAGTTATAACTTACTAGCTGTTCTCATGCGACTTCATCCGCATAAAATTATAAAAAATTCATTTTACTGTTTACATGTGTAAAATTATCAATTGCATATGTCAAAATGACATGAGATGACGTCAAAACTTGGCATCCTTGATATTGGCAGCAACTTATAGTCTCTTTATCCAAAATATTTACCCCCCAAGTTCAACTGCGTTAAAATGTATAGCCTAAAGCATGACGCAAGTGTACAGCTTTTTATTAAAAAAAAGATTATTCAAAAACATGTTGTAATTGCTGACATCTTAGACAACAAAGAAGTGTGTGTTTACGCTTTATTATAATAGTATTGATATAGATGAATAAAAAAACACTGTTTTCTCAAATTAGTCATGATTATTACAAATAATGAGAGTAAATAAATATTTATTACTACTACAGCCGTTCGTAATCGAATTGGATTTTGCTATTATTTCTGTACTGTAGTACGGCATTTGCCTTCATACAAATTGAATTCGATACTTCATATGCGTCATTTATCAAACTAATATATCTTATTGAGACAAATAAAACTTTAAAAGCCTGTTTTATTCTGTTTCTAAAGTTTCGATTTATTTAAATTTAAAAAATATAATAATCCAATGTTTAACTAAAATAAAGAAATTAAGATAATTGAAGAAAGCACCAAAAAACGTTTGTTTAAAATTGCGGCTAATTATATAAGCTTACACTAACTGGCTCCTGGGAGAATTAATCGGCTTAATACAGCGTTTACTGGCTTTAAATTCTTAATTGGGCTGCTTCTCTTCTTTCTTAATTCATAAAATATTTGGGCCGCTTTTCTTTAGTTATAATAAAATTGTTAGCTAGAAATTAAATTTTGGCTTTGTAGACACATTTATAGACATAAAGTGAATAAATTGTCTAAACAAGACAAATGACTGAATGCACAAGGAACCAATATTTTACCATCATTAGCGCGCTCCCGTGAATTCGTATTTCTAACAAAAAAAGAATTATCAAAATCGGTCCAGTAGCGGCGGAGTTATGCCGTAACACATAAAAACATACAGAAGAATTGAGTACCTCCTTCTTTTGGGAAGTCGGTAAAAAATATCCCACAATATACACGCCTTATGTTTCTTTTATATGTAAGAGATTTAAACGCAATTATGTCATATAGCGAAAATAAACTGTAATATTTTTGACAAATCTAATGATATATTTTTGGGAATTTATGAATATTACTTGCAACTAACTCTCGATGTGATATTTTAGGGACATTATCCAATTACATCTTTATAAATAGAGGGAATAAATTAATTATCTGACAGATATCTAACTAAAAAATCCAAGGAAACTATTTTTAATCTATTTAGATTTATGTGCCCAAATTCTCACATATATTAATAGCATACATCTACGCACATGTTTGACTAAATAAACAATTATTAAAGGGTTACACTAAAAATATTACTTATGGCCGGTATCCCAAGTAATTTTAACCATTCCTTAGTGTTTTTGGTTTTTCATCTTCAAGAAATGCGTTTCTGAACTGTGTAACTTGAGTTTTATTCCGTTGAAATTTCCCAACACTATTGAATCAATCGGCAATCATATTTCATAGTAATATTATCAATGCGAAAGTTTAGATAGATGTTTGTAAGAGTTTGTAGACTGAACTGCTGAACGAATTTCCATGAAATTTGGTATAGATATGGAGGATAGTCAGGAAGAATACATAGGTTACCCACTCTTGTTTTTATAATTCCACATAGTCGAATTCGCGAACTGCTAGTGCTAAAATAAAGTGAAACTAGCAACCCAGTGTATTTCCCCAGTTCCAAGTTTCAAGCGTTAGCAATTTGGTTGAACTAGGAGCATCTGATCCATGATGACCCTGTGGGTGGTATCTCAGTGGAAGGCAGCCGGCTGGTGCTGCGCGCGCTGCGGCGCCACCACGCGGAGCGCTACCGCTGCAGAGCTCGCAACTCCGAAGGCAGCGGATTGAGTGAACCGCTTACTTTAAATGTACTCTGTAAGTATACGGTTTTTCAGCTTAAAAGGAAATTTATTTACCTCAAAGAAATGTTTTTGAATAACTCTTTTTCGTTCAAACGCTATTTTGTTCATGTTTTTGTGAATTATGCTTGTGTTCTTATTTAGTAACTAGCTTTAGCTCGCGATATCGTCTGCGTGGAATTAAAAAAAAAATGAGTAGCCTATGTGTTCTTCCAGTTACCCTCTACATCTATACCAAATTTCATTTAAATCCGTTTAGGCTATAAACTCTAACATCGATCCATCGTATTGAAATAATTCAAAAACTATTGGTTTAATTTCAAAAGTTCAAGCATCACTAAATGCATCAATTTAAAAAACATCTCACGCGGATGCGACATACAGTATCTAATATTAAATTATGTATTACATGAGTAACAGACCACACAAGTATAAGTTAATTCAGGTATCATCCCTACGTCTCCATTATGCATTTCTTCATTTTACATTACAACTTGGCAAACGAGCAAAACACCTGAATCCACCGCAGTCTAACTGTCCTTATACACCCACAATTGTGTTGCCTCCCCCTAACCGACGGAGACGGACATCAAGAGGATTTTCCTTTTCCCAAACTTGTCCGCCGCCAAATAATTTCCTTCCCCTCCTAATAGGGTTGAAAGGAAAAGGGATTTATTAAGGTTTCTTTATATTAAACTGTAAGTATGTCCAGCTCGACCAGAGTGTTCAGCCGGCAGCGTGGTGCAGCAGCTGGCGGCGGCGCCGGGCGGCGAGGTGCGGGCGCGCTGCTCCGTCACCGCGCCCTCCTCGCGGGACGCGGGCCCTTTGAGGTTCTACTGGACTTACAATGGCACTAAGGATGTGTTACCGGTACCTAGAAGATTTTGTATATCCTCTTACTATCTATACTTCTATACTTAATATAATAAAGCGTAAACACACACTTCTTTGTTGCCTAAGATGTCAGCAATTACACCATATTTTTGAATAATTCTTTCTCTAATAAATAGCCCTACACTTACGTCATGCTTTAGGCTATATTTTCACGCCATTAAACTTAGGCGGTAAATATATTGGATAAAAAGCCTAATGTGGGAAAGAGACCATAAGTTGTTGCCAACATCAAGAAAGAAAGATTGCTAAGGTTTGTCATGTCATGTTGACATTTGCTATTGATAATTTGACAAATGTAAACAATAAAATAAAATTTTAGTAATTTCATGCGGATGAAGCCGCACGGGAACGGCTAGTATGTGACATTTTATAACTTACCTGTTCAATAATTCATAGGAATTCAAAGCAAATATATGTTAAGTCATCTAATTTAGTACAATTACTTTCATACTTACTTACGTACTTTACTGATCGTGTTAATTTTAGATTGTGTTTATTGTGTAAATTAGTTTGAGTTTGAGATTTTTTTCTAAAAATAAATATTTCTTTAATTATTTAATTTTTTTTTCATTTTCAATTTGTGCGTGTTGTGATTGCATATTTATATAATGTCATCACTGACAGATACCAGCTGCCAACATAACAGTGTCCGGTTCCAGCAGCACAGTGATACACGGTCTGCCTGACAGTAGCTCGGATGACCTGGGCTGGCTGGCTTGCTGGGCCAGCAACGACGTCGGCAACCAGCGGGATCCCTGTCTCTTTAGGATTATGCCTGCTGGTATGTATATAGAATTTTTAATTAACTATTACGTTAACTTCGTTTTTTCATTTCATATTCCTATTTCGTGACTAGTTTTCCCTCGCGACTCCCTTCGCGAGCAATTAAAAAAGAACAGTGAATATAAATGTGATCTTCTAGACTATCCCGTTTAGGCTACGAACTTTAAAATCCATCCTTTTATCCATCCATTTACATTTTCGCATTTATAATATTAGTAAGAAGTATGAATTATCTATGAGAATACACAAAAGTTTGTTTCTGCTACAAGACTCCTACAAGCGAAGACTTCAGTAGCTCTCAGTCAATTAGTTTGTAGTTACTAAGGTTAAATAAGACTGTCTTCCATGTGTTAAATCATACTAATATTAATAATTCGTAAGTTCTAGGATGTGAGAGAGAGAGAGAGAGAGAGAGAGTAACTTAACCTTAGAGTTTCGATGAAAGGCATAAATGTAGAGGATAGTCTGGAAAACACATACATATCTTTGATTTTTTTACTCCAATAAAAATACGTGATTCGTAAAGACAACAATTTGCTTAGCACTCCCGGAACCGCCTTCGAACTGTGAGATAGAAGACGAGATGCTGCGCTGCTCCGCGGGGCACGACGGCGGCCTGCCGCAGCGCTTCATCCTGGAGGCGCTGGAGGTACGGCCCCGAGACCTGCACCCTCAGCTCGACGGAGACGCCATGAGCGACCAGGTGAGCGCGGTTCGGTGTTGCCGTGCTTCCTCTACACGAATGTTCCTATATCTTGTCGCATCCTGTATTTTTTATTGGTGGCTCTATGCTTCCCGTCGTTTTCCTAACATATTTTTAATAGGGATTTATTTTTTTTAAGTTAAAACTTTAATTTGCATTGTGTTGCTTGTTTCCAAACCATTAAAAAAGTAATAAAAAGATGAACGCTGATACCCATAACTAAGAAATGCAAATTCTCCTTTGTACATTGACATATTTGTGGTTTTTCTTTTTTAAAGGAATTAATACAATTGTACATTTTAATCTATATGTAGTTACGTCGTATGTTCCCTGATCACTTATAATTCATAATTAATATCATTGCATGATTCCATTATAAATAATATAACAAGTAATGTAAAAGAATTACCAAAGTTTTTTAAATTGAGAATTTTATACTACCTATTGCTGGCGATTTTGATTACTCGAAACTTCAAAAAAGTAAAAAATGTAGCCTAAGTTAAGTAGCTTTATCGCTCAACAGTTAGTAATTTCAATACAATAAAACAAAAATACAAATCTATACAAAAATTATGAAGAAGAAAGATATGCATTTTTATATATTTATATATTTTTTTGTATTGAAATAAATAATAAACAACTGGGCGAATTTCATTTTTTTTTAAATTAAAAAATGCATGTTATCAGTAAGTCACATAGGCTATAATTATTATTATTTTGTAGGTATTGTAGATATTTCCAAACCAATTCGACTTAGGGTCAAGAAGCGAACCTACCATTTCCTCAAAGGCAACGGATCTGTTGTTCCTCTGGTGTTCACCTTGTTACTCCCGTTCGTTTGCCCTTTTCTTATATAATAGTACACAAACCGTTCTATTCCAGGGTATTTCAGGGCGCGGTCTGTCGGAGGCAGTGTACCGCGCGAGCAATGACGTCACGCCGCAGTTCCCGCTGGACGCGCTGAGCCCGGGCCGGTACACCTTCCTGGTGTACTCGGAGACCCCCCGCGGCAGGTCGCAGCGGCCCGCCGCGCTGCACAGCGTGCCCATACGGACTATCGATGACCTGGATACACCCGGTAAGATGTACTTAAAGCCTTACAAATAAACTGAGTATAAGCAAAATATTAGTACAAATTTTGCTTATACTCAGTTTATTCCTAAGTTTAATTTTAAGTTTATTCCTAAGTTTAACCGCGTTTATTTGTAAGGCTGTAAGAGTTCCATCTCGTGTTAAATTTTTTCATCACCAGCAGACTATACGTCCCCAGTAAGGGGCTCAGAGCCTACTCTAAGTGGGGGGGAGTAACTAGTAATTTACTCTTATTACTGTCCAACTCTAGTCAGATAGAAATCTGTACTAGCTATCTTACTTATTACTAATATTGTAAATGCGAAAGTTTAGATAGATGGGTTGATGTAAGAGTTTGTAGCCTTTACTGTTGAAAAGATTTCGATGAAATTTGCTATAGATATAGAGGATAGTCTGGAAGAACACATAGTCCTGACTTTTTTTCTTTTAATATCTCGCGAAAGGAGTCGCCGTCGAAAGCTAGTTTTATTATAAGGATATAACTTATTCTCAAAATAGTTAAACTAAGAAAACCCTTGTCTGTGTCTTTAAACCTATAAAAAATAATGAATAGTTATAATGGATAATGCGTATCAAACCAGGATCTCTACAAACGATGACGCCTGCGCCCCCGCAGCCGCAGCCCCCGCCC